CAGGTGATACAGGACCAAAGAGTAGGGCTAAGCAGCTTGAAATGTATTGTTCCATATTTGAAAGTCACCGAAAGGACAGCACAGTTGCTGTACACTTAAAGCCACTTGTTAATGGCAAGCAGCATAATAAACAATAGAGAATAAAGTCAAAGGTCCATTTACCTGCTTTTTCAGACATCTCACAGCCTCCTTTAGCAAATAGAGCTGGCTCAGGTATCATCACGTGACCAAAGGTGTTCTTTAACATTGAATGTGAATGGCAGGAGTGACACAACCACCAACACGTGCAGCACAAAAATCTATGGCATCTTAAGCTGCCACCAGAAATGCCACTGGCAGCTGCCGATGCCACTATAGTTTTTGGTCTGAGCTCTTTGTGTGAATAAACCTGCCTTTGAACTGACATCTGCCTTATGTCCGCGCTTGAATCCACTTACTATGAACATAACAGTGGTGCTACTTGGCAGCATCGGATGCACCGACACATAACGTCTCAGAGCCTCTCAAATAGATTTAGGTCTGGGGAATGTGAGGGCCAGTCAATGGCATCAATTGCTTCGTCATCCAGGAACTGCCTACACGCTCTGGCCACATGAGACCAGGCATTATCCTGCCCCAGGAGGAACCCAGGGCCCATTGCACCAGCAGATCTGACAGTGCCTCTGAGGATTTAATCCCGGTACCTAACAGCAGTCAGGGTACTGTTGGCTAACACATGGAGGTCTGTGCAACCCTCCAAGGACATGCCTCCCCAGACCATCACTGACCCACCTCCAAACCGGTGATGCTGGATGATTTTGCCGGCAGCATACCGTTCACCACAGAGTCTCCAAACTCTTTCATGTCTGTCACATGTGTTCAGTGTGAAACTGCTGACATCTGTGAAGAGAACAGGGCACCAATGATGTACCTGCAAATTCTGTTGTTCTCTGGCAAAAGCCAAGCAAGCTGCATGGTACTGGGCTGTGAACAGAGATCCCACTAAAGGATGCTGGGCCCTCATGCCACCCTCATGAAGTCTGTATCTGATCCTAGCACAAAGGAGCAGACACCAGATACAAACAAACACTATTCCAGCCATGATTTGTGTGTCAGGTAATGTTAAATAAGTTGCCCACAGACATTTAACTTACTTTTTGGTGGCCAAGACATGCTGTTGTTGTGATATTAGCTACAGTAGGAGAGTTGTGAGTATACTGTCTGGAGCTGGTGTGCTGGCTCTGGAAATTACATACCCCACCTTTCTGCCATCTTGTTTCAAGTTTGTTTCTCTAAAGCCAATCCATTTAATAGTAATACAAGGCACTGCTCAACTGTACAGAAATCTAAACTTTAAAGCTCTATTAATAAATATGTTTATATTCTAGCTGCATGAATTAAGATTTTAATGTTAACAGTTAATTCAATACCTATGTCTACATGAAAGAAGTTGCTCATAGTGACAAACCCACAGAGAATTATAACCATTATTTAAACTCAAAAAATCATTGAGGGATATAGCCCTTATTTACAATGATGTTGAGTAACAGTTTAAATTATTTAAAAGATACAAAGGATAAAAGAAAAAAATATTAAAACAAGTATATAAATTTAGTTCATAAAAGATACAAAAACAATCCAATCAAAACAGGTACAAAAAGAAGTGAAGCTGGTTTTTGATCATGGATTTATATTGACTAGATTTTTAGGGTGCAAAGAGTTCCAGGTGGTGTAGTAGAATATCTTCCAAGCTCAGTACAAACTCAAGGGAAGTCATTATATTGTGTGGTCTGTTTGATATGAACTACCATAGAAGAGATGGCAACTTCCCAATATGGGTCTTGTAAATAAACAATTACATATGCTTATCATATCTGTCAGACAAGGCAAAACTTCCTTTTAACAGGCAGAAAAGTCGAGCACAACAAGGCTCTGGATAGGTGGGGCAGGAGGAGCATTCAGTGCAAGTGCCACATAGAAATGTAAAGTAAAAATTATAATAACTATAATAGCTGTAGGTGTCGAGCAAGAACATGGGGCAGTAGGTTACTTGTGTAGCCAGGTGGTAAATCTAGTCATAGGCGATTTTCCCACTTTGCTTTAATATTGTTCTAAAAGTTGTGTAATGTAAATACATGTGTTTGTTGTTGTTTTGTTTGAGAAAAACATTGTTCAATTTAAAGTAAGTGTGAAGTAGATTGTAAGTGGATTTCCACAACCTTGCATGTGATGGCAGAGTTTGGTCACAAGGCGGCAGCATTTAGTAGTATTGTTGTTGTTCTGCCAAGTGCATCACGGTCTTTCTTCTTGTTTAACGTGCAAAGGACGTACCAGGGATTGGTGTGGAGACTTCATTGTGTAGAATAGTAGGTAAATGCATGCATATCTTGTAAAATATTCATGTACAAGTGTATGAAATGGCACCACCTGTCAATATTTTCACAAGATGGTGTGATTTAGGCACTACTGGAAATGCGTGCTGGGATTTTGGGCGCCAATCGTCGACCATTGTGTACTAAATTTCATGGTAATGCTAGCGTGCATTAAGTCATACCGTGATATTGTACTTTGTTACTCGAAAACTGTTACAGGTTTTACATTAAGTGTAACTCTGTTTGAAGGTAATTGACGTTGAAAGTGCGTTGAGTTGTGCGATCTCCGGGAAGTTTCACGTGGGTCTGGTGGAACTTGGTGAAGTGTAAGTGTCATTTACAGCTGCGCATTTTATATAACTAATGTTTAGCCCCATGGTGGAAGGAGGAGACATGGACTCAGGAGTTCTTAACCTGGTGCTTCAATTTATTTTTTCACCAGACCTGTGGAAGGTGCAGTAGTGCAAGTGTGAATTATTGCAAAAATATATCAAAAATTAACAAACAAAACAAACAACGAGGAAAATAAGTACAAAATATTCAAATTATCATTAAAAAGTGATATTAAACAACACACACACACACACACACACACACACACACACACACACACACACAAATCATGGAAATCAATTAAACACCGTTATCTTACCTCAACAGTCCAAAACATTTCTTGCTAGACTTGAAATGTTATATGCTGAACAAAGCTTCTCAAAACAGCAACTTAAGGTACTCCAGTACACCCCTCTGTACTGGCTCACACTTGGACCATTCCAGGTCTTTCCCCCCTATAAATTACTCCACACTTCACCACTTTCTGTTTGCCACTTTGACCCAGATCAGAACAGGTGAATGAAACATACAAACATTTGGATGACCTTGGGTAAATCCAATAAGCTAAAATAAATGACTTGAAATTAACTGTGTTGTATTTATCGAATCATGATTTCAACTCTTTCGACTAGTACTTAAATGTAGTGATGGCGAGATGAAGCTTCATGAAGCATTAAAGCTTTCCGTACAATTGATTCACTCATGGTCCGAAGCTTCATGGTGCTTCATTTGCTCTACTGTGCCATCTAGTGGACAATAAAGACAGAGTGATTATAATGGCACCATGGCTTTTGTGAGTGAAGCTTTGAACTGAATAAACTCATGTATGATGTTTGTCATGCCGATACATAAATGATAAACTTATTAATATGGTGTCTGTCTTTATGATACAATGATAGGGTCAAAGGGAACGTGGAAACAACGAGGAGGGTTATGATGTGAATGTGTTGTTTGGTTTGTGACTTTAGATAATAGAGACAACATTTATTCATTTTTATTTTTCCACAGTGCTGGGCTTCAGGCGATTTCTTCTTTTGGAGATGATTTTACCTGCTTTAGAACATTATTAGGGTAATATGGGGTAAGACGCCCCAGTTTTATTCTTACAAAAACCACTGTCAAAAAAAATCTTCTGGCTGCCGCAAGTCTAACTGAACTAAAAATGTCCTGTCTCATTGATAAAATAATCTGTAGATACAATCTAATTGTGTTCAATTAAAATCTGAAATAAAATTAAAAAGTCCAGAAAATGTTAATGAGGGTCCATTGTATTTTGCTGCTCCTTTGGAATCACACACCAAACCCACGAACCATTTCCTGAATCAGTCACGTGGTACGGCCGGCTCGCGAGGCTTCGAACGTCACCAACGCAAGCCTCGATACGCGCTTCACAAAAATCACCCTGGATTACTCGACAGGCGCTTCGAAGCCTCGATACGGAAGGACACATCACTACTTAACTGAACTGACATGACATGACAAGCCATGTGTCCATTGATGCTAGCCCATATGCTAATGATCCGCGAAGGTTAGCTTAGCATGCTAAGACCAATGCTACCGATGGCTTAAATGAAGGCATGGGGTAGCCCCATGACAATAACGATGTTGATGTAAGTGGGTTTATGGTTAACATGATTTATTTTGTTTTCTACTGTTTCTACCATTTATACTGTATTTTATTTTGCCTCTCCTTTCTCCTAACATGTTTGGCTGTTAGAGACTGTTGCAAAATTCAGCATTTGAGCTGGTTACGTGAAAGACTCAGTAGCATACCACTCTGTAATGACCTGCACATGTGGTCAGAAATAAACCTGGAGCTACAAGAACCCCTGAAGTAATTGTGTCCTGTGTGGCATCTAATTCCACAGGCTACACTTGCAATCATAGATCCAGACTCTGCAGCTCCAGAGGCAGAAACAGGGATGTGCATGGACATTTTGGTGGGTAGGGGCTCAAGTGGGGGAAAAAAAAGGACTCCATCTCATGCTACCACTAGAGTGAAAGCACCGCCAGCATTGAAAAGTCACCAAAACATCAGCCAAGAAGCATAGGAACTGAGAAGTGGTCTGTGGTCACCACCTGCAGAATCACTCCTTTATTGGGGGTGTCTTGCTAATTGCCTATAATTTCCACCTGTTGTCTATTCCATTTGCACAACAGCATGTGAAATTAATTGTCAATCAGTGTTGCTTCCTAAGTGGACAGCTTGATTTCCCAGGAGTGTGACTGACTTGGAGTTACATCGTGTTGTTTAAGTGCTCCCTTTATTTTTTTGAGCAGTGTATTTAGAATAAATGACTGAACCAACAAGAGGGACATAGTTTCACTAATAATTTGTTTATTTTGCACAAGACAATAAATCAGTTAAATTGTTTAGGAAGGTATTACACTTACCACGCCTGCACACACACTGACGCAGGAGGCAGGACAATTATCATGTGGTGGTCAATATTAAGATTTTGGAATCAATTTTGCTTCCATGTCTTCTTTTACTCTTATGGAAACAAAGCTACCAAAATACATATTTAGATGGTGTTAGTTTTAACCCTACTACCCTCAATCTGTTTGCATCTGTTGATTTCTTCTAAATTAACCAAAACAAGCTAATCTGCATATTTTTCATTTCCGCTCCATCCCTATAGTATATTATTATTAGTAGTGATATGTAATGAATGCATTGTTCCATTCTTAAAGGAAAGCAACAACATTTTTTTTCATTTAACTCATTTTTTAATACATTCATTTATCACATAAATTGCTAATTCTATACAATGCAATATATACTGTATCTATACTATGTCTTTTGCATGCAAGTGAGAAAGTTTAATTGACTCATGATGATGCAGACGTCCCTCTTCCTTCTCCTCTTCTCCTGCTCTTTGGAAACTCACAGATGAAAAACATGGTGGCCTCACACTCCACGTGGCCCCATGTTCCAGTGCTGAGCAGCTCCACGCAGCTTGAGTTTGTGCTGAGAGATATTGTGGAGTTTAGCTCCCCCTCTTGGCTCCAAGATGCAAACCCTTGCAGAGGACTGGAGTCTGCATAAACATAACTGCTTGTTCCATCCTGATGACCAAAACATAGGTCAAGTAATTATTAGAGAAATTTTTTTTAGAAATAATTAAGGGCCTCTAGGCTACAGCATTAGTTTGTCACTAATTGCACGGCCTAAAATGTATCATATTTAAGGTAGTGGCAGCAACATTGTGTTTGTCACCCAATATAGTATGACTTTTCATTAGTAGTCATTTAGAAAGCAAGTCAAAAGTTACTTAAGACATTAATTTACCATGTCAAATGAATACATTTTGTTCTAGGGTTTTTCATCATTTGTTGATATGCATGCTCATGCTTCTTTAACTCAGTTCATGCTTAAAGATGGCTGATAGCTGAAATGGTTTAATTTTAAGGACAAAAACTGAAACTCCACCTGCTACCCTCTGTTTGTGTGTGCATTACGTTCAGATGGGGACCACTTACTGTGTCCTTGCTTTGAGCCTGCACTCCTATATAAGCCCTTGTAAGTCCCGCCTGACTGATATAGTCTGCCATGAGACGGTTGGTGTTGCTGGTTTTTGGCATAGCCAGGTTGCCACCTCTTAGCTTGCAGTTCATTGAAGCCTCTCTGAACCTCTTGGGCTCTTTCACCAACAGGTAATAACCTCCTTCTGTTTCCTTCAGCCCCATGATGACTGCACAGGACAGCAATAAGGGTTAATTAGGATATTTATACTGTATGTTTTCCATGATAATCTACAAGTACTACTAAGTCCTTTTCTTAGCAAAGAACCTGTATGTGCAACACAAAAATGAAAACAAACTACATGCATTTGAATGAATTTAATTAAAAAAAGAAGAAGAAATACCAAATCAAATAAACAATACAAGTCAGAAGCCAATAATCCATTGCTAACCCTTTTCTGTAGTAGGCAAAACATTGTTTTGTACATATGAACTTTGGCATCAAGTTCAACCAAATGATTGTCAGGGCACTGACATGGTTTTCTAAATAAAAATAATATTTTTACACTATCTATATGGCAGTCCCACTATGATTGTCAGACCTGAAATTATCTTGACATCTTGGCAGTACTTGCTTTATACTTAGTGTACTACGTTTATTGAATTGCATCAGTACACCAAAGCAAATTCCTTGTGTGTGAAAACCTGATTTTAAATAACCCAATTCTGATATCACTAAGTTTTAGCTTAAGATGCAGAAACAGTAAAAAATAACAACGTGAAAGTAATATAAAAAATAGACCACAAAAAAACTAAACACAAAAAAACTAACAAAATATTAACTAACAAAACATTGTGACTCTTATTTATAGAGTCTAAAAAAATTAATTGAAAAAGATTATTAGCTTGATAGAGCTTTTGCAGCAGGGTTCATTTTTATTGTTAGAGCTGCATGTTGTGGTTTTCACACTTTTGAGGATATTCAGCTTGCTTACTGCCCCTTAACAGTGAATGCCAAACCATATATATAACACCGTTCACTACTCACCATTCTTCACAAACTTGACAGCATTCCTCAGCTTGCCTACATTGACATCCAGCTGTCCAACCACCTTCCTGTACCTGCCACAGTCACATGTTGTGCCTGATGGATTAAACAAGGGCCAGCACATGATTTGAGTGTCTATGGGATTTAATAACACAGAACTGCCTTCCTGCACTATGACTGTGATAAAACCAAGCCACAGTATATTAGTGGAAGATTCAATAACCCAATAAACCTTTTAAGAGCTGTCCACAGTCACCTTTTGCAGATAAGTTCTTTGCTGCTGCCTGGCAAAAGCCTTCTCCATCCTAGCTGTGGGTTATTTAAATTAAGTAAATACTATACTATTGGAGTAATTTTTGCAATACACTAATAGTTTTATGATATGTACACACAGGGTAATCAGAGCAGAATATAGGGCTTAAAAAAGCAAATATCTGCGTGCTGCAGATTTACTCACCTGGTTTACCTTTTAAACCAGTGGGCCCTTCCAAACCTGTGTCACCATTGTCACCTACAGAGAAATAGAAACCACATATGAGACAATTCCTGGAAATTCTCGTTTTGGTTTTAAGTGCTTGACTATTGACTATCCACAAATATCTCAATCATGGGCATAAATTTCATATCACAGTGGGGGGAGGGGGTGGGGGGAGAATAAACATTTCTCAAGAGCAATTTTTGAAGGGGACACAAATAATACAGCGAAAAGTGTGCTTGTATAGGATAGGTGTACACAGAGAGAAGTCTTACTACTATTTTTCTGGCCAACAACACAAAGTAATAGTTGTTTAAATATGACTTAAGTTCATAGGTTCACCACACAGCCATATGATCCTAAATAACTTGCGTCCTATACATAGTAATTTAGGTTTCTTATGGGATAGAGGATGTCTTTTACATACACACACACACACACACACACACATATATATATATAATATATATATATATATATATATATAATATATATATATATATATATATATATATATATATATATATTATATATATATATATATATATATATATATATAATATATATAATATATATATATATATATATATTAGATATTTAACGGCAGCAGGCCAACCGATCTGCTACTTAACGGGCAAAACCCAACACAACGGTAGATCTACGCTATTAATATCCATTCACACACAGGATTATCACTGTAGTAAGAGATGCATAGATTACAGGTCTGACCTGCCGATTCTAATTTTGGCCGATTCCGATTTAATTTCTTTCTAACATCTATAACTGACAGCATACACAAACATTTTTCAAAAAATTTATTGGAAAAATTCTATTTTTATTAGGATCCCCATCAGCACCAGTATAAATGTTGATTATTCTCACTGTGGTCCATTCAATTGTATAGTTTATAATGAAACATTGATTATAAAATGAGCATTTTCCCCCAAGACCCTGTACGCAGGATAAGCGGTTGTGGATGGATGGATGGATGGGCATTTTCACTGGAAGGAGCTGAAAATAAATTGCACGCCATTTTAATTCTATTCTCCAATTTATTTTTGCGTTTAATCACAAACTACAGTAATCTACTCACCTTGCTTTTCCCCTCAGACACACAAGCATACTCCTACACCTGTCATCTCTCTCTTTTTGTCTGCTCTGACTTTATTTATCAGCAGTTTTATTTAAAAGAATTCGCGATTGGTATCTTGGTATGAGCCGCGTGTGGAGGAGGCTTGTTGTTAATTACCGATAGACCACCGTGGTATGAATGACATCGTCACCAACAGCTGTGTTCACTGTTGCTTTACTTGCTCCCTGCTTTACAATATCCACAGCGTCTCTTTCTGTGCGTTTCTCTGCAGATGTAGTGAGCGTTGCGTCTTCTTCACTCTCGTGAATAACTTCCACACACCTAAGACATGTTTTAGCCTATGTGTGTGTGTGTGACTGGGACATGAGGTTACTGTCTGTGCACACATGTGCACAGGCGCAGCGCAGCCTGTTTGTAACGTTCAATGTGATCGGCAGAAAATTGGATATTTGAAACTGCTCGGCCCCGGTCAATGGTCGGAGCCATGTAAGCCCAACAAAAACGGCCTCTTTCATTCCCTAGCTGATCAATCTGCACATCTTCAGCTGTAGAAAATGAGTTCCAGTCCAATAAGCTGTTAAACAAGCTACCAAATAAGCTAGGTAATGTTATAATAACAGAGTTGGCTCATGGAAAAATAATGATTAATATAATAATAATAATAATGAAAAACATGATTAATGACTCAGCATCATCTGTAGTAAAGACAAAAGAATGAGTTCTTCCAATGTTTAAAGTGGATAAAACAGCCCTGCCAGCCTAGTTAACATCACTGGAGTTCCGCAACTAACTAACTAACTAACTAACTAACTCAACTTGTTTTCTGCCACGGATTCCTGTGAGAGAGAAAACAGGAAGTGGACCAAACCACTGTGAGGCAAGGGAGGGGGGACTCAAAATGTTTCTAATCTTACAACGCACTTTAATTGCCCTGTTTGCGTTTGTATTGTTTTACCATTTACACAATTACTTTAAGTATAAATCATTATATTATTTGATCATTTTTAAGGGGGGGACACACCCCTCAGATGTGGGGAGGGGGGCATGACCCCCATGTCCCCTCCGTGATTTCCGCCTATGAAAATGTTCAATTTTGACACAGTCTCTTATGTTTTGATGATAATATTGTTATGTAGTTACAAAATATTACCACCAGATGGCGGTGCCTTACACTAAACAATATATAAATGGCTTTGACAAGGACCAAACTGTGATAGCTAGACAACCGGGTCACAGCATCTCTAAAACTGCAGCTCTTGTAGGTTTGTTCCTGGTCTGCAGTGCTCAGTAGGTCACCTATCAAAAGTGGTCCAAAGAAGGAAATGCAGTGAACTGGTGACAGGGTCGGAGGTGGCCAAGGCTCATTGATACATGCAGGGAGCTACTGTAGGTAAAATAGCTAGAAACAGTTAATGTTGGTTTCAACAGAAAGGTGTCAGAACACATAATGTGCCATGCTGTCCCCTGTACTGCCTAAAGTGCCTACAATGGTCCTGTGAGTGTAAGAACTGGAGCATTGAAGTAGGTGGCCTGGCCTGATATATCACTGCTGCCAATGTTTTGGTGCCACAGACCACAGCGCACCTTCAGAGGTCCCGTGGAGTTCATGCCTCAAAGGGTCAGAGCTTTTTTGGCGGAAAAAGGGGGACCTACACAATATCAGGCAGGTCGTCATAATGTTATGGGTGATCTGTGTATTTATTCAAGTCAAATTTGAACCTATTCCATCCAAAAAGATCTCAACATGAAAACACAAATATTTTTTTGAAAAATACAGATGTTAATAAATTGTATCTTCTGTGTGCAAATGCAATGCAGAGCATATTCACTTATACTTGAGCTTTACTGAGGAAATGAACTGACAGTTGCAAATTTTGGGGAAGTGGGCTGCAGTATAAACATCACAATAGGCTGGTTTTGTATGAGGAAGAGCCAGAACAGTGACAAATTGTGCCAGTACAATCTGACCAGCCACAGTGTTATTTTTTGCGATACCATTGGAATAAACAGTTACAGTTTGAGCACTCTGACTTAATGTGAAAACGAACAAAATGAACAAGTGAAAAATGCACATTTCTTCAGACCTAACTTATTATCCTGTTGCCAGCAAAGAAGCTCCATGGGTTATTAAGATAAGATACTGCCAGATATGCAGTGAAATGTCATCTCTGGTCACATACAGTACAATTCATCCCAAACAGTCCTGCTGCAGTCAGTCAGTTGGTTTTCCGTATGAATTGACTAATTACACACAGTTTTATAGTTTATAGCTTTAGATAGTTGTTCTTTTGCCCAAGGAAAATGTAAGCTCTGTGGAAACTCTAATAAGAAGCAGAAATACGCATAGCATAACATGCCTATAACATCATCAACATTCTGTAACTGAATTTTAGTCTGAATTTGCCCTAAAATGTGTTTTTCTTCCCAGGTGTTTTATGAGCTACAGGCGCACAGGATCAAGGAAAATCCAAACCTGTGACCTCACTGCTTTGCCTGAGATGACTGATACACCGCCACTTTCCTGTAAGTGTTTTAAACAATATGAATAACCAGAGAAGTGAATGCTTAGAAAGGCTGGGGAACATGACTGCTCATAAAAAGAAAAATAAAGATAGAAAATGGCCACCCTGGGCAAAGCAACAGCATGACATCACCCTGTAGGATTGTGTTTTTTTCTTCTTGTGTGGATTAGTCTTGGGTCTAATTAAGTATGCTGATTTCTCTAGAAATGTCCATTCTACTTATTTTAATATTTTGAGACTGTGGTTATAGAGCAGCTGTCCAAGCAAAGCAGGAACCCGTATTTCTTCTTTTAGGCAATTATATAGTCATTAAGGTTCTGTAGAACCATTTTGGTCGTCTGTTGACAACTGAAAAGATTTAATGGCACAGGACACATTTACAGACAAGGACACTGAGGACTGGAAGCTTTCCCTTTGATTCAATCTCTCAATTGATTACTGCATACTTTATACAATGTATTGGAATAAGTAATGCTAATGAAAACTGATAAGGCCTGTTTACATTATAGTATAGGTTAACTAGATGAGAGATATTATAGAGAAAGCGAGAAGATTAGAGAGAGCAAGAGAGAGAGAGAGAGAGAGAGACATTGTTCACATTAAAGCAACATATTAAAATTAGAAAATTAGATTAAAATGACTTTCTTTCTTATACCTTTGTCTCCAATACGCCCCATCTTTCCTGTGTGGCCCGCCTCTCCTTCAATCCCTGTCTCTCCTGGCACTCCTGGTGAAGAAGAGAAAGACAGAATGAAAGGAAGGGAGAGAGGAGGAAAAATAAGGAGAGGATTGGTTTGTAGGTATTTGAGACACGATAAAGAAATCTAAGTTTGAAGTTATGACTTTCCAATCCAACACAGTGTGCATAATATGCAGTACATACAATGAGCAGAATTTTTCAGAAAGTGCAAAATCCATTCATCCCTTCATACATTCAAGTTTGTCACATTCTTGCCACTATGACTATTTTTCATGACTCAAAATTTTTCTTTTGTTTTCTGATTATTTTGTTGTTTTCAAGCCTAATCAATATAATTGCATGTTCCCATCTCATCTTTAAGAGATCGTCTTCACGAACCCTGAGGTTTGTTTCCAACAATTGCTGCATAGCTTGGTTCCTAAATTGGGACAGTTATATTATCATTATTATGCCAGAGAAGAGATTAGAAGACAAAATGGGGATTTATTTCGGGCACCAACTAAAGTACTTGAGTGAAGACAGACTTTGAGAAAGTATGCGTTGTTGCAGGATATGGCTCAGTCAAAGTGGATCCATCTTTATAATGTAATAAAATGCATGCATTTATTTTTTATTTATGTATTTTTTCTTTCCTTTATTTGCAAGCATCAATTGTGATTATAAGTATGTGATCTGATTGCTGTCACCACAATGGTTATAACAGATTACAGTTCTCTGTAATGTGATTGTCCTCTGTCACGTCATAATTCTATTACAGTACGGCTGCTTTAGTTTGGTTTTAGTAGATATACTGAGAAGGTGCATGAAGTGTAGGAGGATAGAGAATATCAGAGTGAGAGTGAGATTATGTGTGTGTGTGTGTGTGTAGGTGTGTGTGTGTGAGAGAGAGAGAGAGGGAGAGAGAGCATGTGAAAATTACAGAGCAGACTGAGGCTTTTTGCCAACACTTGAACGAGTATTTCCTCAGGAAACTATTCAACTGGAAATTGATGGTGTTTGAAATACTAAGTGACGCATTGGAGAGGCCTATTGCTATTAGAGGGATTTGCCACACACACATAAATACACACACAGTCAACTATTCACTACTATTTCCCATTTCCAACTTTCTCATGTTGATTTTCTACTTGACGATTTGTGAGAATTGTTGGCCAAAGGTGTGAGGTCCTTTGGATTGTGTGAGGTCTGGTGGATGCTTTAAAGCTCTGGCCTATGGGAAATGTCACCATTTCACTATAATCTGTTAGCAATTTTTGTGTAATTTTCAGCGTGAATGCCTCAGTAGCACCATCACAAAGTAAATATTTTGACAAATCTGATCTGAAAACTGATAGTGAACAGTGATTAAATGTGTTTGTTCTTTGCTATGTGAAGAAATTTAATCTCTTGGTTTCTTGCTATTCTTTCTGTGTCTATAAAGGTTAATTAATGTTGTTTTCGCTGTGCTTGCCCGTTAAACCGTCTATCTTAACATCCAGATAACAGTCCTTCCTATCAATGCAGCCACTCTTTATAATGGCCAACCCCTCCAACTGGTTTAACGTCTGGATTCTCCAGCTGCTGGAGGATAAAGGGGAGGCAAAGCCACATTTTTGATTCTTATCATGGACCCTAGAAACATTTTAAACCACTATCATCATCATATTAGCTTCAACAGACTATAGATAACAATGCTTAATATAACAAAAATAAAATAAAATGCTAAGCAGACCTTAAATCAGATTATTCATCAAACATTGTTTGCATAACATAAAGAGCAAGTATGAATACTGGTACTTCTGCTTTTTAGAGCTTGGTGGACAGAGGAAAGTGAACTATGTCTCATGAAATAAGGCCCTGAGCCATATTTTCCATTTGCTGCAAATATGCTTTATTCCAGCAGGTTCTTCACAAGAATTAAGAACATTACATCACCTAACTCCACTTCACGGCAACACGCAAATTCTCGTCTTAACTTTACAGGCAGTTTTAAGTAAAGCACAATTATCAAATGTAGAGTGTTTGTTGACGTCAATAAGCTTGTTCATGTATTCCCTTTTAACATTCCAAAATTAAGCAACTGTTTCCTGTAAAACAGCCTAAATTAAAAGACGGAATACATGCGTCATCTGTTGAGCTGTAGACATACTTACAAAGTCATCATAGGAACCTGTGTGCCATTCTTACCGTAAGCATACACACAGAGAAAAAAAACTCTCTCTATATATTATCTATATATATATATATATTTTTTTTCTCTACACTTGGAAAAGATTCAAGCATTCCTGGCATCTCAATCTCACAAAGTCTGAAGAGAGTGTGCGCATGTGTGTATGTGTGCGTGAGGAATAAATACCAAGAAGGCAGCGAGAAACCAGTGCTATTACACAGTGTATGTGTGTGTATACAATTATTTACTGATTTTATATCCATGTACATCTGCCTTCTTGTGTCTATATGCTCGTGTGCCCTGTGTGCACATATTTAGCATGTATGCCTGGTTGGTTTGCCAGCTTGTCTAACAGCCCAGTTGGAACACATACGGTGAAGCTGGTCAGCTTCCTCCATAGAAACACAGCAGTGCAGATCTGTCTGACTGTTACTGAGCAAACCAGGCCTCTCCATCTACTGCACAGGAAAGCAAGCTGCAGGAGCAGGAAAAAGCAAAAACTGCTGCCAGGCCAGAGTCACGCAGACTGTCTGGAAGCTTACAGCACAGAAAGCAAGACATGATTGTTTGTCCAGGTAATAGCAGCATTTTTGAGTTACAGACGGGTAAAGTCAGTTTATGCTTCTGTTTAAATATAAAAGAAAATTGAGGCCTTCCTGCTGATTACTTTAGCTGCCCCACCTTCAGTCGTCTTTAGCCCTTGTTATACACGTTGCAAGCATGATAATAAAGACAGACTTGCAGGCCTTTTCAATTATATGTCTCTCAGATGTTTGTCGACCACATATTGTGTCCTTGTTTCTTCTACATGAATTTTCACGTTGATTCTACTGTTACTCAAAAAGTCCTCCAGCTAGTGTGGGTACCATTAAATCAGACCTGGAGTCACTATGATTATGCCAATATTTGTCCACTGCATAATTTTCAACCGCAGTCTGATAACAAACCAAATTTTATTTCATTTGGACTATAATGCTGGCCTTGAGGGGGAATGCCACCACTTCTGCAGATCAGAGTCCATTTACAGGTCTTAGGGAGTTCTACTTCATATGTGAAAAAAGCTTTATAAAGCCTTTTTGGCTTGTGTAGATGTAATGTGGAATGGGTAATGTAGGCTACAGTTTTTCACAAGGAAAAAGAATGCGTGGAATAATCACTGATCCTGCTGCATCAGTTTTATTAATTTTTTTAAACTGCTTATTGTGAGTCTGAGAATGTTAGGATAGGACTGTAATCCTAAATCTGTGTGTTGTATTGTTACTGTTCCTATTCCCACTTTACCGTAGCCATTTATGAATAAATAAGCATCCAGTTGTGGTTCAGGAGGTAGAGCGGGTTGCCTGTTAATTGGAAGGTTGGTGGTTCAATTCCCTGCTCCTCCAGGCTGCATGTTGAAGTGTCCTTGGCAAGATACTGAACCCTGAATTGCTCCTGATGGCTTTTCCACCAGTGTGTGAATGTTAGTTTCTGTTTGAGCACTTAGGCTCAGTGTGTGAATGTAGTGTAAAAAGTCTTTTGGAGTGGTCAAAAAGACTAGAAAGGCACTATACAAATACGGAGCATTTACATTTACCACACAAACATGATATGTTTTCATGTTTTTATTGAACACACTGAGTAAACAGTCACAGTGCACGGTGGAAAAAGTATGTGAACTCTTAGGCTAATGACTTCTCCAAAAGCTAATTGGAGTCAGAAGTCAGCCAACCTGAAGTGCAATCATTGAGACTAGATTGGAGGTGTTGGTTAGAGCTGCCCTGCTCTATAAAAAAACCCATCAAATTTGATTTTGCCATTCCCATTCCCATTGCCTGATTTGTCATGCCTCAACTTACATGAAGCTGGAAAGGGTTACAGAAGTATCTCTAAAAGCCTTGAGGTTCATCAGTCCATGGTAAGAAAAATTGTCTATAAATGGAAAAAGTTTAGCAATGTTGCTTCTCTCCCTAGGAGTGGTCGTCCTGCAAAGATGACTGCACAAGCACAGAGCAGAATGCTCAATGAGGTTGAGAAGGATCCTATAGTGTCAGCTGAAAACTCACTGAAATCTCTGGATCATGCTAACATGTCCTTTGACAAATTTACAATACATAAAACACCTAACAAGAATGGAGTTCATGGGAGGACACCACAGAGGAAGCCACTGCTGTCCAAAAAAAGATACTGCTACATGTCTGAAGTTTGCAGATGAGCACCTAGATGTTCCACAGAACTATTGGCAAACTATTCTGTGGATAGATGAAACCAAAGTTGAGTTGTTTGGAAGTAATATACACCTTCTGGATTGGCCAGTTAGAGTCCTGACCTCAACCCGCCTGAGATGCTGTGGCATGACCTCAAGAGAGCGATTCACTCCAAAAATCCCAAGAATATTGCTGAACTGAACAGTTTTGTAAAGAGGAATGGTCCAAAATTCCTCCTGACCGTTGTTCAGGTCTGATCTACAACTACAGGAAACGTTTGGTTGAGGTTATTGCTGCCAAGGAGGGTCAACCAGTTATTAAATCCAAGGGTTCACATACTTTTTCCACCCTGCACTGTGACTGTTTTCACGGTGTGTTCAAACATGGAAAAACATGGAAAGATATAATTGTTTGTGTGAAGTTAGTTTAAGCAGACTGTGTTTGTCTATTGTTGTGATGAAAATCAGATCACATTTCATGAGCAATTTATGCAGAAGGGTTCACTGACTTTTTCCTGCGACTGTATATATATATATATATATATATATATATATGTATATATACACACACATATATATATATATATATATATAGAAAGAGAGAGAGAGACAATTATCATTTACTATGCTGTAATCTGCTGGGGAGTCACTGTGACAGACAGAGACACTAGGTGGCTGGACGTGCTGGTTAAAAAGCTCAGTGCTCAGCAGGAGGCTGCACTCACTGAGGAATACCCAGCCTCCCCGAAGGGTCTGTGCAATACTCCTTCAAGGCTCTTTAATGGGCACTTTCTAATTTCACTGTTTCTTTTGGCTCTTTTATTCAGCATCTTATTTATGTATTTATCATATTTATTTATTGTTTGTCTGTTTTTAACTCTTTGCTACTATCTGTTTGTGTCTGACCTACTGGATACCTGAATCTGTGTATCCATCCATTCATCCATCTATCTATCTAGATGGATGCTAGTTACCTGGAAGTCCTGGCGGCCCATTCTTCCCGAGTTTTCCCTGATCCCCCTCCTCTCCAATCTCACCTTGGTCTCCTGGATAAAAAAGTAAAGACAGTAAAAAGGAGTGTGAAAGGGGATTTGATAGTTCTGTTCAAAATGGTCTGGTAAGAGGCATGCTAGTAGATAGATACCTGCATGTAGCAGTGATATACTGCTGGTTTGCTCACTTCTGGTATGGATGGAATATCAAAGAGGATCATGATACATTATCAAAACTAAAAGTTGGCCAAGAAATACAGCACATTACTTCGGTGAGTGTGTGTTTGTGTATGAAATTCAGTGAAAGTCCATTTGTGGGTTTGGATTATCCCAAGGTCCTGTTGTAAGTTTAGTTATAGTCAACTGGGGTGTTTATCAGAGCATTTTGACTCTTCATATTCCATTTTAATATATGTTTTCAAAGCACTAGCTTATTTGAATTATTAATGAAACAGCATAGTACAATATAAAAGTACAAATGAGGTGTAGGAGAAATTTATCTGGTGGGCCACCGCTCAAAGAGCTCTTGGGAAAAATTGTGTGTCTATTAGAGCTGTAATTTTACCCCAGTTGTTGATGCCAATAGCACTTCATATCTTGTTAAGTGCTGGGCTTTCAAATGAAGGATAGTCACAAACCCCCTCTATTAGTCTGGAGGAATACTTTGGAAAATTATTATTCAATCCTGCAGGCTGTGTAGACATTTTAAAGTAACCTAAATCACAATTTCAAGTGTTTCTGGCTGCATAACATTTCTTCTTTTGGACCACTTAACTGAAACTATCTATAATAAAATTACTAAAATGAGAGAATTGCCATGCCAAATGTAATGTATAATATATGTGCATTTGACGCTTCTATAGAACTCCTTGATGTAATAAACTTTTATGATCAAGAACAGTGTCAAGCGGATTTCTTCTCAACACATCATCGTAGCATTATTGTTCGGACACCACACAAATGCAGTGATTTATTTGCCACAAACTGAAGTGTTTTAACCAGTCCCACATTCTTATATCTCAATAAAAAAATTAAATGCCGATAAATCTATTTAAAATTGCTGAAGTCAAACTACCAGTAAATGCAATAAAAGTATGTTTATTGGAAAAGTAAAAAAGACCAATTGTGTGGACATTTTTTTAACAGTACGAAACATGCACATCCGACACCCACTCAAATACGCAGACTTGAGTATACACACACACTCAGAGACGGACTCTGTGGTCAGTCGTATCTGGGATGAGTCTTGTACAAATAATCAGTTCAGTTTAGTGGCAGCTGTCTAAATACACACTGTTACAATGGAACTCTCTTACTAGTAGAGACATTTCTGTGGAGAGCTGACAAAATGTCCACTCACTTCTTAAACAGTGAGTGGACTTGCTGTTTCCGCTTCACTTTACCCACGCTACCACTTGACCTTATACTGTAGTTCAGTAACTACTTTTGTGAAACAATATTTGTCCACAAGAGTGAAGTTAACATACATTTTTCTATGTTCAAGAACTGTAAAAAATCTGATCAAAGGCCCCTTTTACAGAGATGACTTATTTTACTTTTTCACTTCCAATCGCAGTTCCTGCATGTCAACTGCTGAATTAACATTTATCTTAACATTTTGGGTCAGAACTACAAGCCATGTTTTTCAGTAGCATGGATGGAGCTGAAAAAAAGAGCTGCTTTTCTTAACTGTGTATTTTATTAGGTCTGTCTGTCTGGATCAGCAGGGGAACAAGCTACTGGATATCGTAAACTGGAAAACACACACGGGGAGGCATTCCCTCCAAAAGACTACGGGGTAGCAGACTGCTAGCTAATAAACTACAGGACATTACATGCTTGGTACCTTTATCATCAGCCCTGAAGCGTATTTAGGGGTGTTTCCTCAGAATCGTCCATTTAGACCTGTTACACTGTGAGGACATTAACATTCCTATACATTTACTTTTAGGTCAAAAAACTACAATTTCCTTATCTCCAACAGTATGAACAAAATAAAGTAAACTTTAAGAGCACCCAAGAACCCAAGCGGTTGATACATATAAGTAGGCTATGTATTAGAATATCTGTAATATTTCTTATTTGTCTTACATAAAAGGACCATCTTTGATCATTTGTTTACCTTAAATAGATTCATGTCAGAAGATTGTTGGCAAATCTTAACAATTCTAAATCATATTTATACATTTAGATATTTTAAATTTTACTGCATCAAACAGATTTGTGCCATTAAAAAAATTTAAGGCTAAATGTTTAAGTACCGTACAGTCAGGTTTAGACACCAACACAGTCAGACTCATAGCCATGCGTTACCTTTAGCTCCAGGAAGGAGAGAATTGGTGCAGACATCTGTGGAGGCAGATACGTAGTTGAGCAGGGCTGCAGACACACAGAGGAACAACAGTCCCATCATCTCCTAATCATCACTGACCACTGAAGAAGATCTTGAATTTTAGATTTGTAGGTTGTTACTAGCGCCAAAGTATTGATTGCGTAAAGTGTCTCATGTGCCAGTTTGCACCTTCTGACAGTTTTAACTGTAAGACCAGAGGATCAGTGCAGCACTAATGAGCATACATACTGCAGAGAGGGTCAGGACAGAGTGCTGTTGTTTATAGAGCCCACAGACACAGTTCTGCACTCTCACTCACTCACACACACACACACACACACACACACACACACACACACACACACACACACATGCACACACATACTTGTTTATAGTCTTATCAGTTAGTTGTCATAACATCAAACAACACTTAACAGAGAACTACATTCCTGTATGTATTTCCTCTTCGAATTTGAAACTGTGTTTAAATATAAGTTCATAACATAATTTAGATAGATACAATATTGGGAAGAATAGCAGTAGGGGACAAATACAATGTAATGTATTTATTTTTGTTTAAGAAGTTCAAGTTCAACTTTTAGGAATGGCCTTTCAGACCACAGACACAGAGTGTTAGAAACTTTCTATTTTCTTCCCGTCTCAGTGCACTCTATATCACCATTTTATTTGAGTGCGTTAAATATATGCACTATAGAGTGCCCTAAAATATGAGTGAAAAAAGTGGTGTCCACAGCATGTTAACAAAGTGAAATCTCACATTGTAATGCTTTGCATCTGTTAGCTGACTTAAATGACCGTTATGTTACCTGTCAGCAATGGGGCAAAATGAAGGTGATTCATTATTCTCTCAACATTTTTGACGAAAAATCAACTGAAATAGTGCAAATATTTAGGTTAAATGGAGAGTGCACAGAGTGTAATATTAGTGAGTGGAATGTTTTCTTATCAACAATCAGGGAGTAGCACCTCTTAGCCAGCAAATGTTTTCCTCTCTCGTCTTTTACTCTTCCTCCCACCCTTCAGACCACAAACCATTTAGTGGCAGAGGTTTACGCTTACACACACAAACACACACACACACACACACACACACACACACACACACGTATATTATGTACATGCACACATGGACATGAGATACAAAAGGTGTCCATGTACAAAAATGCATGCAAACACACACACACACACACACACACACACACACACACACACACACACACACACACACACACACACACACACACACACACACACAGATTCTTGCATAATTGCATCCTCAGGTTTGTCACTATGTGATGAAAACACAAGGATTAGAGGGTTTGGAGGCCTCGGAGAGACAGAGAGAAAGGAAAGGAGGGTTGATGGCAGAAAATTAGAAAAGAGAAAGAAAGGGAGACACAAACAGGGAGAGATAGTGAGAGGAAATGAAGGATAATTACAGAAGGAGACACAGAAAGACCAGAGACAGAGCGAAGAACAAAGAGCGATAGCAAGTAGGGAAGAGAGTGTGGTCAGAGCCACATGTCTTGGCACAAAGAGCAATTTCCTTATTCAAGAGTTATGTCCCCTGGGATGTCTTAAGCTCTCCATCAGTCAGGCAAGTCACCGGGGGCTTTAGTGTGCTCTGTTCTTTGAAGTACAGGGAGGGATCGATATTATTGAGACTATTAATTGAAAAAAAATCAGACATGCCCTGCTGTTCCTCAAGGACTGAGTTGGAGAGTTGTCACTTTAAAAAGCTGCCATTTTGAAGAGAGTAGTTAAATGGTTTGTTGCCTGTATTGTTGTTGGCCTTTTATATGTCATTTTGTATTTACAGACAAAAATCTTTCAAATATACCCAGTGTTGGCTGGGAAATTACAACACGTTTTTCTGCTTACAGTCAAGTTACAACTCATTTCAACTGTTTTCAAAGGAAATTATATGGGCCTGTTACACAGTTAGACAAGTCGTAGTCATCAATCAGTTCTTGTTGCTGATTGTAATGTTTGTTTTTTCTCGATTATCTTTGAAAAACATTTTAAACCACACACACAGGCTTGAAAATATTTCAGGCCTCACACACTTATATCAGAGAGAGTCTTTTGGCTTCTACCACTATTTGCTCCAAGCTTCGACATCTATATAATTTCTGCTAAGGAATTTGTTGACGTTGAGAGCTGTGTATTTTGGTATGAGAGCTCATTTATTGCTCTGGTTTTTGGTGTTGCTGGGGATAACTTGTCATCTGGTACGTCTTGTTCAATGAGTTCAAGAGAAACAACCATTACCAACAGTACAAGTTTGTGTGGCCAGCTTTGTTAAAAAGAGTTCATATGTGGTGGCTAAAACAACAACAAGCAGAGCTATTAACACTAATAGGTGAGCCATTGATAGTATGCACAAAATTCTTTCTTTTTCAAGTTAAACGTCAGACTGAAAAAACTATCATCCAATATCTAACTTGTGCTGTCTGTCCAAAAAAACAACACTAATCATAGAGCCAATCATAGCAATGTCAACCTATTCTGATTAAATTACTGTTTTAGGCAACAAGAAACACTGTGACTCCGTATTTATAGACTTATCAAAAGCATTTGATCCAGTTGATAATTCCTTGCTTTTACAAAGATTATCCTCTGGTAGCTTTGGAAGGAATGCCTATATCTGGTTCAGTGGCCATTTATCAGATCGGCAGCAGTGTGCAAAAGCAGGAACAGCCAAATGTGAACTCCTGCCACACTCATCACTGCTTTTTTATGAGATAAAAGTTAGTTGGCCTTTTCTATCTGACAGATGTTAATAACCATTGGTACTTATATATCTACAAAGCTTTTATTGTGAAATTACCATCTTATATATCTTATCTTTGCTGCTCTGGCACTATGGCCCATACTTCACAGGCTCCAGTGCTTGGCTGATGCTCCAGGAACCCCCATGCCAGAATTGAAGTTGGAAAAAATGCTTTTGCTGTCAGTGCAGCAGTCTCATCGAACAGTCTTCAATGCCGACTGAAAACTTGTACCTCTCTATAACTTCAAGAACGTTCTCATTTCCTGTTCTCTACCTGCTTATGACTGCTTTCACTGTATTCTCACAGTGTATATTGTCCAAATACGTGTCGTTCCATCTTGGTTAATTATTTACTTAAGACTATTACATAGACTCACATTCTTTTCCTGGAGACTTATCCTAACCTTAACCACTGATCCAAATATCAGCCTTTTCCCAATTGGGGACATGGCTTTTCTCCCAAATTGGACAAGCCATCCCCAGTAAACTGGTCTTCAATCTGAAATGTGTCCCTGACGGTACATAAGTCAGACCCACACATACATATATGAACAACCCTACTATCCTGAAGGCTAATTGTTTACATGTGGTTTAGATTGCGTTCTCTAATTAAGAAAGTGATTCACACTCCTGGATTGAGGGTTGACTCTATAGTGGTAACCACACCGCAAAACAACACTGCTTTCTCTGCTGCTTTAAAACCCACTTTTAAAACAGCAGAAGTAGCATAAACCGGCCACATGTGTTAGTGACAAATCCGTCAACGCCAGCTTCAGCCTATAAAATATTTTCTTAACCTCTGCTCTGAACCACATTAATTTTCTGTAGAGCGTGAATGTCATAATTGGCCCAGTAACTGCTATGGAAGTGACTGTGCTGCCTGTGTTTCCCGGTATTTCCTGGGGATCAGGAGAGCAAGGCACGTAAGAAACTGTGGTGACAGCCAAAGTCACACACAGTGTGATGTGTCTCTTTGTTTTTGTGATTTCACTTTTCTGAGGAAGTGAGTCAGAGGATTTTCACCATTATTGAATGATCCTCACCGGGAATCAATTAAAGTCATGTTTCAGTCAGCACTTAATCTTCTGTATGCCGTGACGACTGCCCGAGCAGTCAGCCATGAACACTGGTGGTCTTGATAGTCAGTAATGCTGTCAATAAAAAACGTCAAATGACAGGTTTAATTACAAAATCTGATATTCAACATTTTAAAACACATTGACAAGTATATTGACAGCAAAACCTGAATCATCTGTATTTTCGAAGTATTGATTGATGCAATGTAAGAAGCATTTTTCTCTAAAATAGTCTGATGTACAGTGATGATTTTTTTAGGGCAAGAGAGGCTTTTCGTTCCGAGCACCTGAACAAATCACGTTTCAAGCAGATGGATTGATTTGAATGAGACACAAGGGTAAAGGTCTTCAAAGATATCCGCATCCCCATATATAGGCCTAGGGCCAGCCTGACACAACAAACTGGCACTTACCAATTGTGGAAAGACCCTCTCAATGTGGTTAGAACAACACATTCACATCCCACCTTCCATCCAACTCATCTCTTCATCTTTTCCCATGAAGCAGTCCTCCCACAGGATGACTTCCCCTTTTTACTCATTGTGATTGCTTTAAAAAAGCAAATAAAAGAAACCATACTCCCAACATGAAAGTGTGTAAAGTAAGCAAACTCACAGAATATTTGTTGTTGCTGACACTAGCGAAAGAACATCACGTCTGGCCCGGTTGTGAACTGCATCACTGGGCACAAATGTCTACACCATGCAGCATATAATACGTCAGCCTTCATCTAAAAAAAGGTTTCTTACTATAGCTTATATAAAAACAGGCCAGAAGAGAGTTTTCATGCAATTGGATAAACATAACCAACAATAAATATAAAGCCTCTCCCCCAAACTGTGAAATACACACACAAGCCAGTGAATGATCATTTTAGTCTCGGGAGTGTCAGAAACACCAGTAAGGCCAATGCATTCCTCATTAAAGGTGGAAGTTCCTAAGTGAACGTAGAAGTTTCTGTAAGCATTTTAGCCATACCCAAAATGCACCTGTTGGTCAAATAATATTGTAGGTGTATTAGATTTGGTGTTGTGTTGTGCCATGGTGCAGACACGGACTACAGAGGTTTGGGCCCAAATGCAGACACTGGCGAGATGGAAGTAAGGTTTAGTGAGTCTTTATTTAAAGAAAAGGGTGACACGGGTGATAGCAGGTTGAAGCCCAAAAAACAAAAGTAATCCAAATGTCCATGAGAAAGCATAATCCACAAAGCAAAAGAAGCACGAGAAACACTGGAGAAAACACGAGACACTAGAAACAATAAACTGGCAACTAGACACAGTGAGGAAGAGACTTAAATAGTTAAGGGGGTGGAGACAACGAGACAGATGAAACACATTACGGTAGTTGCAAGCAATCAACCTAGAAACACAAGGACAGAAAGCACAAAACACACAAGG